CCCTTAATAATAACCTTTCCAATACATATTTTGAAAACAAATTTTAATTAACTACAGAGAAAAAAGTGTCATGGTTTTCAAGAATTCCTTTAATCATGCTTTTTTCAGTACAATAAAAAAAATAATGCAGAATATTATTGTTTCATGTTCATTATTCACTATATGAATCATTTTTTCCTAAAAATATTATTTGCCAAGGTCCAATTCAATACGACGGATATTCGACTGACTACTAATAAAAAGAACATTTTGACGGAACACCGGCAAAAAGGAGGACTACATGAACCACGTAGATTTTATTAAAGATCAAACTGTCTTCAGCTTTCCAGATTTAGACATAGATTTGTTTGAACATAACATAGATTCGTGTTTTGGTGAATCATGTTTATTTTCGTTTTGGCTTTTAAAATATTATGTTGTACATTAGAATCTATCTTGGTGCTGGTTTATTTGGTGTACAGGCCCGCTTTGCCTTTTAAAGTCTGATTGTGTACTGTACATCTTGCTTTATCTGCTGAAAAGTCGGATAGGTACTTGAAATGAAGCACTTCATAGTTTACAGGGTGTGTGTATTATATACAGAGTTAGAAAAAACTGGGTTTTTAAACCCANCCGATACTTGAAATGAACCAAAGTTTACAGTGATACAAGTTACCATATATTGGGTGCCTCTTGTCAAAAAGAGTTTAAACATGTAACAAAAACAGAATTCCATTAGATTTTCCTTTACATATGATTATTACAATATTAAATTACTTTGAAAACAATTGTGTCATGAACAAATGTGAAAATGGGTACGTTATAATCATATAAAAATTATCTTTTAACATAGTTATTGTTCCTCCCTTCTTCATGAGGGGTATACTGCAATTGTTTAATATTTTAGTTCTAGGAATCTTAGAGATAGTCTGGTTTATTTTCTCACTTGGATACATATTTCTGAGAAAGGGGGGCTACTCAGACTGGTTGGTAATAATTATGTGCTCAAGAAGGAAGACCACTGTTAAATACTAAATTAATGTGCTCACTTTATACTTACTTGAGAATAATCAAAGAATTGTATTTCCTTATCCTATCACAACAAAATTGAAAATTCTGTTGTATAGTACTGTGAATCTTATTGAGATAAAAAAAATTGTAAATGGTCGATTTCTACAATTGTTTCTTTGTCTGACCTTAAACCAGAAACCGTGTTGGTGGTGGAAAGCTAATAAACTAGCAACTGTATATGCAGAAGAAACATCCTCAATACCACTATTTCATGGCCTGGAAAAGAGGAGGTGACTCAGCTGAGTGACAAGGATGAATAGTTAAATTCATTCAATATAGTTTTTTCGGAATATTATTCAAACAATATTCTTATTAAAGGTCATAGGTTTTAGCCACCACACAATAATCGAATACATATGATGTGTCAGTTTTAGTAATACAAACTATACCTGATAATCAATATCAATGATAGTAGACCTCATTTCTTGTTAATTGTAACATTAAAAAAGTTAAGATTAGGCTTAAAAATAGAAAAATTCTAAAATTACCAAATAAACCCCCCCCCCAAAAAAAAAAAAAATTTAGTTTTTTTTTTTGGGGGGGGGAAGGCTTTTTTAGGCCAACCCTGATTATATATGTTTCACACAATACTCAATTAAGGGATCCAACGTTTTTCTTGGATATAAATTCTTCTTTTTTTTACTTTAAATTCTGAAATTGTTCTTTTTTATATTTCTGTGAAAACATTAGATTTATCTGTGCACAGCTGAGACCCATGTTTCTTCATTTTAGTTTCATTTTATAAATTTTATTAGAAGCTTTATCAGTCCATGTTAGAAGAACGCCAAACCTGCAAATAATATACATTTTAGGAAAATTATTAAAAAATTGACCTGGGAGAGAAAAAAATTAAAATTACCTGTTTGTTTCTTTTCCAAAATGGTCGAAATGGCTTTAAGCCAACAAGCCCGTTTCTAGATGGATGGAGTCAGAACATCCCATCAATCATCCTATCCATCTAAACTATTGTATCCATCCAATCCTATCTAAACCATCTATCCACCTCATCCAACCTATCTAAACCATCTATCCATCCAATCCAACCTATCCGTCCTATCTATTGTATCCATCCAATCCATCTAAACCATCTATCCACCTCATCCAACCTATCCGTCGGAACTTTTGAATCAAAGAATTAAACTAAACTTGTTCTTTTCTATTCGGTCCATCTAAAGTTTCCAACTACAATTCAGAATTCAAAAGTCCAAGAAGTTGAATTGATCCATGACTTTACTTATTTTGTTTGAATTTCTTTTCTCTGTTTATTTTATGAAAAGTTATATTTCGTTTAGAATTTTATTTTGTTCTATCCAAGAAAGAAAAAAAACATCTGCTCCCCAATGGGTTAGAACATTATTATTAAACTTCATTTCAAACAAAAACGGTAATAGAGAAAAAATTCTTAATTACATAAATGTAAAAAAAATTATAAATTATAGTATCAAACGTCGCTAAAGGTGGAGACAAAACATGAACTAAAAATGTCAGTCAAAATCATTATATTATTATCAAATTAACGCTGTGTACTTTATCACTAACATGGCAAATTTCATCTATTTTAAATTTAATGTGTCTGTTTGTTTGTTTTTATCCAAACGTTTAAACAGAAAATGGCTAAACTGACTGGACCCAATTTGTTTGTGGGAAATCACAAGACCCATAGAAGGTTCATAAAGATGTGCATCGCTTTTTCAACAAACGAAAAAATACGAACGAACGAAATTGTCAATAAAAAGGGGGGGGGGTAAAAACTTCTCCCAAAAAACTAGTATTATAATATCTATTTTAAATTTAACTTGTCTGTTTGTTTGTTTTTATCCTAACGTCTAAACAGAAAATGGCTAAACTGACTGGACCCAATTTGTTTGTGGCAAATCACAAGACCCATTGAAGGTTAATAGAGATGGGCATAGTTTTTTTCAACCAACGAAAAAATACGAATGAACGAAATTGTCAATAAAAAGGGGGCTAAAAGCTTCTCCCAAAAAAACTAGTATTATAATAGTATACTATAAACTATAAAGTAATCAATATTAAATTGTAGGATATTACATCACTTTGTTATAAAGTTTAATTGGTTTCCGGATATCTAAAAAATTGGAAATTTCTATAACAACTTATTTAATTAAATTTAGCTAGTCATACAGGACGCGAGCGCCCATCTTCTATTTCAATTGTGAACATTATCTCTTTGTATACATTTTAGAACAAAAACAAAAAAAATCGCGGATTTAAAACTAAAGTTCGCAGATTTTTACAATTTAATGAAGATGAAATTTTGTTGGAGGCTAATTTTTGAAATTTTGATCATCCATAAGACTTCCCTGGGGTCATGTGAGGTACCATGCAAATTTGGACCCAATCGGTTCAGCCGTTTTGACGCTTATTGGATACTAACAAACACCAGGAGCAAAGTATATATAAATTTGGCTTGTCTGTTTGGGTGTCTGTTTTTTTGTATCCAATAAACGTCAAAACGGCTGAACTGATCGGGCCCAAATTTTTTGTGTACAAGAATAAAATTAAAATCTTTTTTTTTACAATTACAATTTACCTTAACACTGAAGACTTAAGCTTAAAAATGTCTTTTGAAACATAAAGAAAAATATCTCGATGATTTAAAAAAAATATTCAAAGCATATCCAAAGCCAATTTTGCTTATTTTTGCTGATTTTCTCAGTTTTAGATATTTTTATGAAAGTTAACTTTAAATTGACTAACTTAAACTTTTTTTTTATGTTTTTTATGTATTTTATGTTAAAATTAACAACGTGGGTAATATATTAAGTTTCAAAATTTGTGAATTTTCTCCAAAAAAAACATAAACCTCTAAACTTTTAAGAGATCATTATTTTTTTATACGGTTATATTTTTAAACAAATAAAGTTAGTGTATCTATAAATGAAAAAAAAAAAATTAAAAGATTTTTAAATCAATAAAAATCAATATACATACATTTGTATTTGTAATATTTATCATTGATGAATTTTAAGATATTTTCATATTCAAGAAAATGATTTTAACATTCAAACAATTTTGTTGAATTCTGGATAATTCCGTCAGTAGACCACATTATGTAAATTCCGAGACTGGTAGTTTTTGGTGTTGAATGTTCTATCTGGGATAATACAGTAATAACCAAAAAAAGCTGTGGAATAAAATGTCGACTTTTAGGTTCAAGACTTTTAGGAATCTAATTTCTAAATAGTCAAATGAGAATTAAGCACTGCAGCGATTGGGCAATGTCTATAAAAGATTTGGCTTAATCAATGATTTTTAAGCTACTGTAGTAATTCTATTTAATTTGGAACAACTCCAACTACATTTTTTGGTTCTCAATGTACAAAAATTGTGTTAACAAACTAATGCCGCGTGGAAAAAAGACGATTTTAGTAGTTTTCCATTGTTTAAGGTACAACTCTGAAGCTAGGTGGAGGCTTTTCCTACTTTTTAAAATCGTTCTTTCCGTTCCGCTCCATTTCGTTTCGTTTCGTTCCCATCGTTCGTTCCCATAAATGAACGAAGCCCAGCCATTGAGCCGGGCGTGTTCCTAATTTTTTTATAGTTCGTTCCGTTCTGTTTGTTCCCGTGAAAGAACTATCGTTCCCCAGGAACGATTCCCAGCTCTATCTGGAGCTAGCTAAACGATTCCCAGCTCTTTCCGGAGCTAGCTAAACGATTCCCAGCTCTACCTGGAGCTAGCTAAACGATTCCCAGCTCTACATGGAGATAGCTAAACGATTCCCAGCTCTATCTGGAGCTAGCTAAACGATTCCCAGCTCTACCTGGAGCTAGCTAAACGATTCCCAGCTCTACATGGAGATAGCTAAACGATTCCCAGCTCTATCTGGAGCTAGCTAAACGATTCCCAGCTCTATCTGGAGCTAGCTAAACGATTCCTAGCTCTATCTGGAGCTAGCTAAACGACAACTAAATTATCTGATTTTTAGACACGAGATGATGAATCTTCAACCATTATTCTCGCCTTCATTGTATTCGGCACGTTAAGGTAATGAAACAGATATTCAGTCAGATCCATAAAATATGGAATAGACAGATAACTTTGACTTAAAGGGACTGTAAGCAAAACTTCGGCTGCAATGATGGCGATGCCTTTATATGATAAATAATGTGGAAGATATGGTCTTTTATTTAAAAGTGAATAATTCTGATAGTTCCTTTATGTTTTCCTCCAGTAGAAATACTCAAGTAACGTGTGTAGAAAGAAACCACAATTGAAAATAGTCAGTTTTTAATATTATAAACATTGATATCTAATTCATACTTAATCCAGGTATCGTTGTAAATCGGGAATTGACATCTTTGCATGGAGAGTCACATGAAATTACGCTTTCAGTCTCTTTAAACTATGATTTTAGATAATCAAATGAATTTCACAAGTTGACTTTCAAGCTTCTGCTGAAACTTTTTGCTTCATAACAACATGCATAAGATTCCTTAAATATTTTCTTCCTACACACTCCATTATGCATTAGCGCCTGATCCAATCAGGGTTCAGTCATGTGTTTGGTGTCTATTCTGAACCAATAGTAATAGTATGGCGGTAACATCTATCTTTCTATCTATCACATTATCCAATCAGTGTTATGAATCCTTTAATCGGCGCTATCAGTAAATGGAAATATTTACTTCTACTGAAACTATGGTTGCTGCATTTATTAGGGTTTCTTAGAAGGATTATTACAAAGTATTAGAATTCACTAGATGATAAAGTAACCAGAAAATATGGAATAATTGTTGTTTTTGTTCTTACATTGTATTTTGAAATGTTGTTTAAGATTTTGTACTAAAAATTTATTTTTCGTTTGTGTTTAAAAAATGGTTTTTTCATTTTTCATCATTAATTTTTCCTTGAATAACACCATGGTCCACGAAAAATATCTTTTGTTCACAAAACTATGCTAATCTCTACTCACATGACGCAGTTTTTGGTAGTGTATCAGGTTCAGGTTTGGTTTGGTAGTGTATCAGGTTCAGGTTTGGTTTGGAATATCCGGAAAATTTATTTAAAGTTTTGTACTTAGCCACCTCTTAGTATTCTTAAAATCTGGTCTTCAACTGAACCGGAGTGGTATGGTTATTGTTGTTAATCGGTTTGGATAATTTTTTGAAAATAGTTCAATAAAACTTTTTTTGTTAAAGTTTTCTTTTATTAAATTTTGCAATATCTTTATTCTAAAAATCAAAACTGGAAAAACGATCCAAAAACGATCCAGAAACGATCCAAAAACGATCGTTACAAAACGCATCGTTTTTGTGCCGTTTTTTCAGATATCTTCTCCCAAGGCTAAAATTTGAAAAACGTAAAGAAATGCAAATATTTAGAATAAAAATTTTAAAAAACATTTGATTTTTACATAATGCCACATTTTGACCCTGAAAGGAAATAAAGCAAAAAAAGACCGAAAAACCCAACTGGAATCATATCACTAAGTAAGTTAATGTCGTCTTCTCTAGTGTGTTTTAATATCTTTGATGGCTCAAGTACACTTAAGGTATAATGTATAGACGCTGCTTTAAAATAACTTCCAAAAATATTTGTTTAATTTTGCTTGATAATATTCTAACATATATATTCCTAGTCAACCTGATTCAAGTTAATTAAAAAATTCTATTTAGAGAAGTTGTATAAAAGAAATATAAAAGTGCCCCTTAAAATTATTTTGATAATCTTTGAATTTTCTGAAAAGATTTCTTCCTGGAATTTTGCTTTGTCAACTATTCTATTATATTCCGTGTGAAATGAAACTCATTATACTAATCTCATTATTATTGGAAGATTTTCTAATTAAAAATTCATTCACTCAAATCATAAAAGTAAAAGAAGTGATGTAGTTAGGATTTCGCATAGAGCAATAAAACGAAGAGGTGAAGTTTGGCTCAGATGTACAAAACCGACCTCCCTATTTATTAATTAATGGTCGGTTGAATACAACCGACCGCTCTAATAATTATTTAATAGGGTGGTTGATTGTGTACAACTGAGCTTAGCTTTACCTCTTCGTTTTATTACTCTATGGGTTTTCTAGTAAAAAATTATAGTTAACATGTACCAAACTTTCGATCCATTTGAATAAATTTAGTTTTTGCAACAAACTCAAGTTTGTGATCTTTGCAAATCTGATGTCGTAGACCTTGGATATTTCAAACTGTTAGATAAAATTAGATCAGTTTTTAATGTAAAAGGTGTAAACCATTAGATTGCAAAGATATAGGAATTATAAAATTTGAGGTTGTTGCAAAGACTCAATTCCTAAAAATGTTCGTTTTGGTTATTTTTTTAATCGGAGACTTTTTTGTAACTTCGTACACCAATATTCTGTGGTAGGCGATTTTATCAATACAATGAAGACAACTTTCTACATCAATTTTGATCCATATCAAGCTGTAGAAGTCAAGAGAAGCTGCCAATTAAAAAACCTACTTTTTGATTACTTGTAAACTTATAATTCGAAAAATCAAAACTTTAATAAAAAAATTTGTCTTCATTGTATTTATATAATCCATGGATATATAATCGCCTGTATTATAGTTGGTATATGTAGTTTAATGAATTAAGTATTCTAATTTCAACCAATAAAATATATATAATTGCCTGTATTATAGTTGGTATATGTAGTTTAATGAATTAAGTATCCTAATTTCAACCAATAAAATATATATAATCGCCTGTATTATAGTTGGTATATGTAGTTTAATGAATTAAGTTTCAACCAATGCAATATTTTGATTATTTCTTCAGTTCCCTTCTGCTCATCTTGGTCTGCTCATACTTTATTGCCTGGTATATTGCGTCAACAACACAAGGTACTATTTACATAAAATAGGCTGGGGGGGAGGGGCCTAAATAAGGATAAAAATAGAACATGATTTTAAGCACTTTTCGAATATCTTTTTGCCATTAAGAAACGTGAGTGGCGCACAAATATCATATTATTTTCATTAGCAAGGTTTATGTTTTTTCTTTTCATGTTTTTTTGGTAAATATTTACAGATTTTAAAGATTTCTGTTGTTTTTTATAATAATTTATTATAAGTTTTTATTAGCTTTATCAAAAAATAAATTGTTTTTTGTAATTTAATGACTTTCATTCTTATTTTATATGAAAAAATGGTGTACGGAATTTTGTTGTGGTTTTGTTGATAATTTAATTTTATCATTTAACAAATATGCTTGACATTTTGAAATTAAAAAATCTAAAATTCTTGTCTTTAAAAAATGCTAAATTATAATAATCCTGTGTTGGCATTATATTTGTATTTGTCTCTCTTTATTCAAATTAAAAATTTTCCGCATTTTTTTCGTTTGGAAAAATTCAAATCATTTGCAAGTCATATTTAGAGATCTAAATAATTCTTGATTTTATTCACAAATAAGTTTTGTAATAAAAATTTATTATTTTAGCTTTTGAGTATGACAGAGTTTTGGAGGATTTTGAATCTGAGGAATCAGCTGATATGAAAGAAGAAGGTAAACCAATAAAAGTTTAATCATAAACGTTCAAAAATTACAAAATTTAACCAAAGATTAATTCGGAGACAATTTCAATGCCGTCACATAATTTCTATAGTTTTTGGGATACCCTGTATTTTACTGACTTACAATTATGAATAAAGTTCTTTTGATTCAAACAAATTTTGTTTGATTTTTATTCTTTTCTTTAGTCTGAATAACAATTTTTTAAAATTTTAACATTAACATATATTAAGTTAGACAAATAGGACAGTGGATAACTTGTTATATTTCAAACTTTACTTATTTTGTCCTATCTAGTCAAGGTCTTTTCTCTACCGTGAGAACCAGAAAACTGTGGAATAGGAAGACAACATTAAGCAATAATTAAGAGTATTTGTTTTTCCAATGGAAATAGTTTTAGTAGTGCCTTATTAAGCACTTGCTAAGTGAAATGGATCTGTTTACTCTGCACAATTGCTGTGTCTCATGCTTATTGGACTATTAAAAATCTAATCTTGAATCTAAAATTCGTCTTCCTATTCCAGAGTTTTTTTTTGTTAAGTTAGAGGCTTCACAATTTTGTTTTTATACGGGAAAATTTTATTCGTTATATTGTTGCTTTTATTACATTATGCAAACATTTTTCTCTTATTAACTTCACCAATATAATTTTTCAAAACTCTTTTTCAAAAAGATTTTACAAATCGTGAACAGTCTGAATAGCTGATCGAATGATGAATGAACAGTGGAGAATCAAAAAAAAGATATTCTTATGAATTAACAGAAAGACAGTGCTCATCCCTAGTTTACAGTTTGCTGAACTGGCATATTTCACCCTTTTAAACTTTAACATCTTCAAATATCAAAGCCGTGAAAATATTAAATTAAAAAGATAGTTTTGGACTTTTTTACCTTTTTTTAAATATAAATAGAACTTCTTATCAAATTTTTGAATTATTGGATTTTAAATAATTCCCTTTGAAAAAGAAATAATTATACAAAAATTTTGGTTTCGAGATTAGAGCCGATTATTTGAGCCAATTTTGTAAAATCTTTATTTTTATAGGTTCCGAGAGAAAACTGGAGCTATACTGCATACAGTTAGATGACGTGAATACGCCACTGATTAAAGGAATACATGGGGACAGCTATACTTTACCCTAGCCTGGATACACAGCTATACTTTACCCTAGCCTGGAAACACAGCTATACTTTACTCTAGCCTGGATAAACAGCTATACTTTACCCTAGCCTGAATACACAGCTATACTTTACCCTAGCCTGGATACACAGCTATACTTTACCCTAGCCTGGATACACAGCTATAATTTAGCCTAACCTGGATACACAGCTATACTTTAGCCCAGCCTGGATGCACAGCTATACTTTACCCTAGCCTGGATACACAGATATACTTTACCCTAGCCTGGATACACAGATATACTTTACCCTAACCTGGATACACAGATATACTTTACCCTAACCTGGATACACAGCTATACTTTACCGTAGCTTGGATACACAGATATACTTTACCCTAGCCTGGATACACAGCTATACTTTACCCTAGCCTGGATACACAGCTATAATTTACCCTAATCTGGATTCACAGATATACTTTACCCTAGCCTGGATACACAGCTATAATTTACCCTAACCTGGATTCACAGATATAATTTACCCTAGCCTGGATACACAGCTATAATTTACCCTAACCTGGATTCACAGATATACTACCCTAACCTGGATACACAGATATACTTTACCCTAGCCTGGATACACAGCTATACTTTACCCTAGCCTGGATACACAGCTATACTTTACCCTAACCTGGATACTTTGCTATACTTTACCCTAGCCTTGATACAACACTGATCAGTTAACCCTAGCCTGGATACAACATTGGTCAGTTAACCCTAGTCTGGGTACACTAATGATCAGCGAACTCTACCTTGGATACACCACAGATCAGTGAACACTAGCCCGGATACAACGCTGATTAGTTAACCCTAGCTGGGATACAACACGGATCAAACCTTAGCCTGGATACACCACTGATCAGTTAACCCTAGCCTGGATACTCTACTGATCAATTATCTCAACCCTTGGATACACCACTGATCAGTTAACTCTAGCCTGGATACACCACTGATCAGTTAACTCATCCCTTGGATACACCACTGATCAGTTAACCCTAGCTGGGATACAACACTGATCAGTTATCCCTAGCCTGGATACACCACTGATCAGTTAACCCTAGCCTGGATACACCACTGATCAGTTAACCCTTGCCTGGATACACCACTGATCAGTTAACCCTAGCCTGGATACACCACTGATCAGATAACCCTAGCCTGGATACACCAATGATCAGCTAACCCTAGCCAGGATACACCACTGATCAGCTAACCCTAGCCTGGATACACCACTGATTAGTTAACCCTAAACTTGATACACCACTGATCAGTTAACTCATCCCTTGGATACACCACTGATCAGTTAATCCTGGGCTGGATACAGCACTGATCAGTTAACCCTAGCTTGGATTCACCACTGATCAGTTTACCCTAGGCTGGATACACCACTGATCAGTTAACCCTAGCCTGGATACACCACTGATCAGTTAACCCTAGCCTGGATACACCACTGATCAGTTAACCCTTGCCAAGATACACCACTGATCAGTTAACCCTAGCCTGGATACACCACTGATCAGTTAACCCTAGCCTAGATACACTAATGATCAGCTAACTCTACCTTGGATACACCACTGATCAGTGAACACTAGCCTTGATACACCGCTGATCAGTTAACCCTAGTCTGGGTACACTAATGATCAGCTAACTCTACATTAGATACACCACTGATCAGTTAACCCTAGCCTGGATACACCACAGCTAACCTTATTTGTACAAAAAATCTAACCTGTCATTGTTCTCCAAGGTACCTTGGGTAACAGATTCATGAAAAGAACGAATTATTTGGTGTAAAGCATTAAAAGATAATTGAGTATCATGGTTTTGCCTCTGTTTCTTATACCAATAAATGCTCATAAAATAATTCCTGTATTTTTGTCAAATGATTATAAAAACACCATTTAAAGGTATTAACTGAAGAATTATAACACAAGGTCGGATATTGCACTGTAAGGCTGGTATATGTTGCACTCTTGTAGAATTGTTCAGCTTGTATATTTCACTCAATAATTGGCAAAACGTACCAAAAAAAGGACTCTAAGAAGTTCGTAGTTTCCTAGGGGTTTATAATTATAAACCCTCTGGAAAGATATCTGAATCCCTCTTGTGGAATTATAAGCCCCCTAGAAAGATATCTGAATCCCTCGAGTGGAATTATAAACCCCTAGGTAGGATAACTGAATCCCTTCGATGGAATTATTACCCCCATTAAGAATATCTGAATCCCTCCGATGGAATTATAACCCCCCAGGAAACACATCTGAATCCCTCCAGTGGAATTATAAACCCCTTGGAAGGATATGTGAATCCCTCCATTGGAATTATAAACCCATAGGAAGGATATGTGAATCCCTCCAGTGGAATTATAAACCCATAGGAATGATATCTGAATCCCTCCAGTGGAATTAAAAACCCCCAGGAAGGATATGTAAATCCCTCCAGTGGAATTATAAACCCAAAGGAAGGATATCTGAATCCCTCCAGTGGAATTATAAACCCCTAGGAAGGATATCTGAATCCCTCTAGTGGATTTACTAACCCCCTGGAAAGATATCTGAATCCCTCCAGTGGATTTATAAACCCCCTGGAAAAATATCTGAATCCCTCCAGTGGAATTATAAACCCCTAGGAAGGATATCTGAATCCCTCCAGTGGAATAATAAACCCCCAGTAAAGAATTTTGAGTCCCTCCAGTGGAATTATGAACCCCTAGGAAAGATAGTTGAATCCCTCCAGTGGAATTATAACCCCCTTGGAAAGATATCTGAATCCCTCCAGTGGAATGATAAACCCCCTGGAAAGATATCTGAATTCCTCCAGTGGAATTATAAACCCCTAGGAAGGATATCTGAATCCCTCCAGTGGAATTAAAAAAACCCAGGAAAGAATTTTGAATCCCTCCAGTGGAATTCCCTAGGAAAGATAACTGAATCCCTCCAGTGGAATTATGAACCCCTAGGAAAGATATCTGAATCCCTCCAGTGGAATTATAAACCCCTATGAAGGATATCTGAATCCCTCCAGTGGAATTATAAACCCTCTGGAAAGATATCTGAATCCCTCCAGTGGAATTATAAACCCCCTAGAAAGATATCTGAATCCCTCCAGTGGAATTATAAACCCCCAGGAAGTATAACTGAATCCCTACGGTGGAATTATAAACCCATAGGAAGGATATCTTAATCCCTCCAGTGGATTTATAAACACCCTGGAAAGATTTCTGAATCCCTCCAGTGGAATTCCCTAGGAAAAATATCTGAATCCCTCCAGCTGAATGATAAACCCCCTGTAAAGATATCTGAATCCCTACAGTGGAATTTTAAACCCCCAGGAAGGATATCTGAATCCCTCCAGTGGAATTATAACCCCCCTGGAAAGATATCTGAATCCCTCCAGTGAAATGTAAAGTTTTAAATTGTTAAAAACGTTTTTTCTAACCCCTCCAGTGAAAATAAAATCCCTCCTGTGGTCTCCAGTGGAGTCAAAATCTTACTACGAACTTCTGTGACTCCAAAAAAAGCAATATTTTGATAATTTTCCATCGCTTTATGCTGAAGATAATATTTTCAATGCTTATTTCCCGTGATATCCTACCATTTTTCGAGCTTTTAAGAGCACTTAATGTCTGCCAATGACATGTAGAATCCGATCATATATATATATATGTATATCATATATTTCTTCAGTTTCGACCTTTATATGGTGTTTTTAAGAGCAATTGTTAGAAATATGGGAATATGGAATTATTAGATGAGAATTTAAATAGTAATACAAGGGCAAAACTAAGATACTCAATTATCTTTTTAGGATGCACACCAAATATTTCGTTCTCTTCATGAATATTTTACCTATAGGTACCCGGGAGAACCCTGAAAGGTTAAATTTTTTGTATAATTTAATTTATCTTAAAACCCTACATTTGACTAGTGAGTTAGGGTGATTTGACTTGAAGGTCCAAAATGTACATATGTATTTATTAAAAAGCTTAAAAAAATGTATTGTTATTTGACTCTTAACAAGAGTGAAGCTACCTACATATTATTTCATTAACATGAAAGTGCTCGTGAAAGGTTAAATGTGTCAGATTCGTAAAAGAAAAAAAAGAATTATTTTTCATTTGTAAAAATAAAAGTTTAAAGAACAATGTTGTAAATTTGGAATAAAGGATCAAAGCCCTAAATATTTCATTATTAAAAAATATGAATTCTTGCGATGATATTTAGATTTCTAGAATAAAGTACCTGGAGAGGGTCTAATTAACATTAACATATAAACCGCTATCTTATTATTTCGTTCCTTTACTATAATTTGGTAATAAGATTATAATCGTATATTTACTGTTATTGTAAGGCATAAACAAATTCAAATTCGATTCAAATTTTACAATGTTTCCTGAACTGTAAAAAAAACTCACTTTAACTTTTTTCTCTGAAATCCGGAAAATTATATATTTTAAGTATTGTATTACTGTATTATTGTATTATTGTATTATTGTATGTTTGTGAACTATAAAAAAATTAAAATGTATTGGATAAGATTTAAAAAAAAAAAATAAAGAATATATTATTCAGTTTAAATTAGTTTATTAGATGTTTCCTGCACGAATATTTAAAGTTAATTTTTTACTGTGGTTGATGGTAGAAACATTGATTGTAGAAGTTATGTGATTGATTTTCTTCAATAATTCTTAATGACATAGTTTCAGTGTGTAAGAATTGCCTGGTTTGTACAACACTAGGCTATTAAAGCTCTTCGCAGTCGCACTCATATTCTATTTCAACTTTTAATAGTGGCTCAATATTTCACCATTTTCTTTTCGATAAAACAAAAACAAAATTGCGGATTTACAATTTGTGGATTCTAAAAATTTTACGAAATAAAACTTTTTGTAATTCCGAGCATCCATAAACCTTCCCCGGGGTCAAGGTTATAATGCTAGGATAGTTATTTCAGAGGAGTACGCATATTTTGTACTGCAGTGTACTGTCGTCTGTCTCTGGGCGGTAATGTAAACACAAGACGGATGTCGAAGCCTGACATGGGATCCATCTTTCACATAAAAAATCAACGAAATATTCTGGTCATAGGAAACTATTATTTGAATTATCAAAATTATCAAAATTTAATTCTTTTAACCTCCTCGGATACTAAGCGAACGCTGAAGCATCTATTCTTGTTAACAAATTCCACCCAGAGAGAACTGGTTTCAATATGTACGCAGATTATACGCAACTGCAATTAACTTTCCTTGCATTATAACCTTGCCTGGGCCCCTGGGGTCATGTAAGGTCCCAACCAAAATGTTCGCCCATTCGGTCCAGCCGTTTTTACGTTTATTGGATATAAACCTACAAACAAACAGATAGACAAGCAAAGTATAGATATTTTCAACTGGACTTTTTATATGGTGGATATTTTATATGGTGCATTTCTAGTGGAACGGCGGACATTTTACTGACTTTCCGCGTAAATTGGACAATTTATGCCGTAGACATTTATGCCGTGGACATTTATGTAGTGGACAATAGTTTTCCAGTAGTCCATATTATTCCATCTAAAACGATCCCAAATGTTGATTGATTGATATTAGGGGCAGAAATTAACATGTTGTTGTTTTAAACAATTGGAAGTATGATATCAAGCTGAAGAAAGAATTACATATTGCATAATGTATACTGCAAGGAAGTGTTTACCTTTCTTTATATCATAATTTATCTCTTATATTGATTATCTACTGATATTTACATCTTTTAACAACCCCAAATGCAGTTCACATTTCTAAAGTATAGTACGCGTACACAAAAAACTTGCCAAACTGCACAATGTAACAAAAAGTGTATTTTCATGCCTCTAAAGAATCCCAGTTGGAATCAGAAATGCAATTATATTGGACCCCTGTTAAGTTTTCCATAGAAAACAGCAAAACAATCAAAGTTAACTAATATAGTCGGAAAAGATAAGAATAAAATGTTTATTTGAATACCCCCCCTCCCCCGGATCCTCTCTCTCTTTTGAAGAACTAATTCTTTTGTTCTCCTATGAAAAACATGATTTTACAAATATTTTA